CCAAGGAATTCCACTTAAGGAATTCCTGCCTTTTAGAAGTATCAGCGCTAATACACAAAGCATGTTCACTGAGGCACTTTTTGTAATAGCCAGACACTGGAAACAATTTTAATGTCCATCAGTTGTGGATTAATTAAATCAATAGGCCTGTCCAGACTATGGGAGGGATACTAACTGCAGCCATTTTAAAAAATAAGTGAATTTGAGGTAATGGAAATGTTTAAGAACTAGATAGAGTGGTAGTTGTACAACCTCGTGAATATACTAAATAGCATTGAATTGTTCACTAAAAAATGGTTAATTGTAGGCTGGGCACAGTGGCTCATGCCTGTAATCCCAGCAGTTTGGGAGGCTGAGGCAGGAGGATCTCTTGAGACCCGAAGTTCAAGACCAACCTGGGAAACACAGCAAGACTCCATGTCTACTAAATTAAAAATAAAAAAGTTACCCAGGCACTTGCTTAGTGGTGGCACTCATCTATAATCTTAGCTACTCAAGAGGCTGAGGTGGGAGCATCACTTGAGCCCAGGAGTTTGAGGTTACAGTGAGCTATGGTTGCACCGCTGCACTCCAGCATGGGCAACAGAGCAAGACCCATCTCCAAGAAACAACAACAAAAAATGTAATTGAGTTATGTAAATTTCACCTAAAGATACTGTAAAGTAGAAAGAGAAAACATTCTCGGCCTGGCGCAGTGGCTCAGGCCTGTAATCCCAGCATGTTGGGAGGCCGAGGCGGGCGGATCACAAGGTAGGAGATCGAGACCAACCTGGCTAACACGATGAAACCCTGTCTCTACTAAAAATACAAAAATATTAGCTGGGCATGGTGGCGGGCGCCTATAGTCTCAGCTACTTGGGAGGCTGAGGCAGGAGAATGGCGTGAACCCAGGAGGCAGAGCTTGCAGTGAGCCGAGATCATGCCACTGCACTCCAGCCTGGGCAACCGTGAGACTCCATCTCAAAAAAAAAAAAAAAAAGAAAAGAGAAAACATTCAGTTTTCTATGGGTGTTAACAAATGCATGGAAAAAGTTTGGAAAGAGCTAGAACAAACTTAACAGTTGTTACTTCTAGACTTGGGGAAATGAGGGCATTTGTACTTAATTTTATATACTTTTGTAATGTATGAAAATTTAAAGTTAGCATACGTGATTTTCAAATTGGTAGGGGGAGTTTAAAGTTAGCCAAGGACTGAAAATATAACAGGGTAGGAGGTTGATTCTCTCAAGTGAAAGTGGAAACGTTCATTTTGAATTTTTTTTGTGTGTTTTCCTTTCTTTCTACTCTTTAATTCTCAACTCAGCTGCCATCAGAACTGCAAATTGGGTTGAACAAGTTAATGACTCACTGCACTTGTTTTGACCTTTTAATGCTTGATTCTGAGTGCTGGGGATCTGCGTGCATTTAGTTACTGGTTACTGTTTACAAGGGACTGTTTTTAAGAGATCACAAGGATTTGTAAGATACCATTAGTGAACTGTGTATTTGGTGCAAGTACTTTCTTGACCTGCATAGGGCTGGTCCAGCCATCATGAGCTCGTTAGTGAGCCCAGGAGCTCCCCGCTATTTGTGCCAGCCTAAGGGGCTTGTGTTGCTACTTGCAAACAGAGTGAGCGTCTTGCTTCCAGAAGGCTGTGGTAATACCCTGAAGCTCTTTGGAAGTTTCTTTTTACATTTTTCATTTATTTATTTATATATATATATATTTTTAGAACTGAAACGAGGCCTTGCTATGTTGCCCGGGTGGTCTCGAACTCCTCAGCTCAAGCGATTCGCCTGCCTTAGCTTCCCAAAGAGCTGGGATTACAGGCATGAGCCACCAAGCCCCGCCTCATTTTTTTCTTTTTTCTTTTTCTTTTTTTTTTTTTAGAAGGGAGTCCTTGCCTCTGCTCACCCTCAGGCTGGAGTACGGAGGGGCAATGCCTCAGCTTAGCTGCAATCCCCCACCTCACTGGTTCAGGGCAATTCTGCCTCAGCCTCCCAAGTAGCTTGCGGATTACAGGGCGCCTACCATCACGCCCAGCTACTTTTTTTATATTTTAGTAGAGACGGTTTCCACCATGTTGTTCAGGCTGGTCTTGAACTCCTGACCTCAGGTGATCTGCCTGCCTCAGCCTCCCAAAGCGCTGGGATTACAGGTGTGAGCCACCACGCCTGGCCATTTTAGACACTTTGGGGCCGAGGCGGGCAGATCACAACATCAGGAGATCGAGACCATCCAGGCCGCACAGTGAAATCCCGTCTCTTACTAAAAATACAAAAAATTAGCCAGGCGGTGGTGGTGGGGTGCCCTGTAGTCCCAGCTATCTCTGTAGGCTGAGGCAGAAGAATGGTGTGAGTGAGCTGAGATCACGCCACTGCGCATCCAGCCTGGGCGAGACGCCATCTCAAAAAAAAAAAAAGACATAAAAATTTATAAAGGAGGACAGAAATCACCCATAATGTCAACATGAAAAAACAATAGAATTTTGTGATGTTCCCTGTTTATCTTTGCTCACGTGCATTTTTTGCATAACTATAAAATGTTCACATATAGATTTTAATCCTGATTTTATTTAGGCTACATAGAAGGGATGCTTACATTTAATTATCTCTGAATTGTCTAGATAAGATTTCCATCCAGCAGGGAATTATAATTTTTTTTTTCCTGAGATAGAGTCTCACTGTTGTCACCCAGACTGGTGCAGTGGCACGATCTCGGCTCACTGCAACCTCCACCTCCCGGGTTCAAGCGATTCTCCTGCCTCAGCCCTCCTGAGTAGCTGGGATTACAGGCGCATGCCCACGCCCCGGCTAATTTTTGTACTTTTAGTAGAGACAGGGTTTCCACCATGTTGGCCAGGCTGGTGTCAAACTGCTGACCTCAGGTGATCCACCCACCTCGGCTTCCCAAAGTGCTAGGATTGCAGGCGTGAGCCACCATGCCCAGCCCAATTATAACTTATTAAACAATGCCCTTATGTGAATAGTTCTTTTAAATTTTCTTTACTTTCTGGAATTTTGTTGAATCTCAAAATAATTGGACACTACCTTAGAATGCCTTTGTGAGAAGGCTCATATGTCATATGCAAATTCAGTTCCTGACCTCAGGAAGTTTTTAGTTAAGAGCAGGTGACCCAATAATTATAATCAAGTGTGATCATTGCTATATAAGAGGTATGTCTAAATTGCTCTGGGTAGGAGGATGGGAGAATTTGGTAAAGACTTCTTAGAGGAGGTGCTGTTTGAGTTACATCCTTATATCCTGAGGGCAGTTAAAGTTAGCCAGCTATGGCTGGGCACGGTGGCTCACACCTGTAATCCCAGCATTTTGGGAGGCCGAGGCGGGTAGATCACGAGGTCAGGAGATCGAGACCATCCTGGCTAACACGGTGAAACCCTGTGTCTACTAAAACATACAAAAAATTAGCTGGGCATGGTGGGCGGGCGCCTATAGTCCCAGCTATTCAGAAGGCTGAGGCAGGAGAATGGCGTGAACCCAGGAGGGTGGAGCTTGCATTGAGCCGAGATCGCACCACTGCACTCCAGCCTGGGCGACAAAGCGAGACTCTGTCCTCAGAAAAAAAAAAAAAAAGAGCCAGTTTGAAGTGATGGAAACACATTCCAGGAAGAGAAGATTGCTTGAAGGGAGTATAGAGGGATGGCAAAGCATGACGTATTTAGGGAATGACAGATAGCCTAGTATGGTTGGAGAAATAGAGGCTCATGGATGAGTGGCAGGATGGGATCCTAAATATGGAGACTGTGGTCAGATTACAAGAGACTTTCTGTGCCAAGCTGAGGAGTTGAAACTTCACGCGGAAGGCCACAGAGAGCCATGGGGGGTAACACTTCCTAAATAAGAATGTGGTTTTGGAGCACAGCAACCTCATTGCTTTGGCAGTCTCCAATAAGTGTAATGAAATCTTCTAGTATGAAGACTGAAAATGATGCACTCAGCTTTCTTCCGGATCATTTGTATTTGTCATGAAAAGCATTTTGGTAGCATGTTTAAGTCACAAAGGTGGACTTCGGATGGTTAGACTGCCCCGGAGTCTACTGGGGCCTCTTTGGGAAATAGGAAAATACCTCAGGGACAGGAATCATGTGCTGCGAAGATGGTATTTAGTATGTATATTAGTCAGGACTTTTCAAGTTGACGGAACCCCAACTGAGATAATAGAAAGGGAAATGTCTTTCTATATGTAACGAAAATGTCTAAGGGTGGTTCTTGTTCTTTCCGGTTTCAGGCACAGTGGGATCCAGAGGCTCAAGCAGTATTGGTAAAGCTTGCTCCCTTCCTGCCTCCACTGGTCACTCCATCCTTCATTCTAGGTCCCTTTATTCTCTCCTGTAGCAGACAGATGCTTCTGCTTAACCAGGGAGAGTTGCTGCTGGAAGCCCCTGCTTGTGTTATCTCTTGAACTCACAATCCCAAAGGAATACTCTTTCCTCCTTTCTCCCATAAATCATGTGAGAAATTTCAGGGAATCACATGCCCATCCCTGAACCAGGATGGTGGAATACTCTATTGGTCAGGTCTGGGGGAGCCCACCAAAACTATATGTAATAGGATACCCAAAGTTAGTGGGATTCTATTTATAGAAAGAGGAGAGTAGGAGTACTAGCCAAATGTTTAAATAAATAAAGGTCATCCACTATTGTTATCTCTTGTTCTTCTAAAGAGGGGAGATGTCCACTGGAAAAAAGTAGAGCTCATCACGTATCCAAGAACTACCTTCATGCGTGAGTTTGGCCGGATATGTGCTTGCACTGTAGTCCACTTGGTATCCAGGTCGCACAGAACGGATACTCCCAGCGCATGTTCCAAAGCAGCCCCCTGTCCAATTTTCCTTAGCACGTAGGCTCAAGACAATGCCCCACTTCCCAAAGGCCTTGTGGCAATGTCCTTTTTTTCTTTCACATGTATGATTTATGTTCTGTCAACGACAGGAAACTGCTCAAAGATCCACCCAGTCCTGCCGCTGCCCCTGTGATGGTTTGTTTTTCTCATTGTTTAGCGCTCCATTAGCTTCCGCAGTGAGAGTCGCCCTGACATCCTCGCCCCCCGACCCTGGTCCAGAAATGCCGCCCCCTCAAGCACGAAACGGAGAGATAGCAAGCTGTGGAGTGAGACCTTCGATGTGTGCGTCAATCAGATGCTTACATCCAAGGAAATCAAACGTCAGGAGGTAGGCTCCGGGCCCAAACTCCATGTTGGCTGTGTGTCTGGAACAAAGGTGCATTGCGGGCGTCAGCCGTGCTGGAGTTTGCGCCTTAGTCTCCAAATCAATTCTTCATTGCATTTGTAGAAGGACAAACGGGAGTGTCTGACCTTGGGGAAGGAACTGAGAAACCAGAAACCAGCTGGGAGGGTGTGGCCCCCACTTTAAAAAGAAACTGATGTGAAAATGTGAATTTACAAGAAGATGAAACCAAATGTCTATTTAGGATTCTGAAGTTCACAGAAATAATCATTTTAGTTATATTTTGATAGCAACTTCTAGACTATTTTAAAATATTCAGTTTCCATAACTTTGATTCAGCTTTGTGGAAAACTTCCTTTCTATAGAATCCAGTTAATTTCATTCCCTGTAAGTTTTCTGTATCAGTTGCCCTAAATGGCTCTGATAATACTACCCTGTATAGAAGAGCTTGTCTAAGTGCTTGTGCCAGGCTGTGCTGAGAACTTCATGTGTGCATCATCGGATGAGATCCTTGGAGTATCCAGCCCAGGGTTGTGCCTCCACCTGCTTTGTCCTCAGTTTACCAAGCAGCCCCAGGTGGAGGGAGCTTTCAAAGCCTGACCACTTTTTCCCTATATCCTGAAACACAGTAGACCCTGAAATATAATTACAAACTTGCAGTCCTTTAATAATGTAATGTTTGCTGACAGTTTGACTTCCCAGATGGAAGTGAAAGAGTGTTCTGCGCATCATAGCTCTTTAGTATGATGGCTTAATGGAGCCAAATTAGAAACGGTCCATTTACATTACATACTCTTCCACACAGCCAGCTCCTATAATTTTATTTTTTGTACCTGTGGGACTGAGAGGTAATTTAGAATGAATTAACTTTACCAGATTGTATTTGGAGTGATAAAATGTTGGATTCTTCCTACAATATCAGCCTAAAGGCATTGGATAATACAAATAAAACTTTCTGCTGAGATTCGCCTTCTGTCGAGTGGAAGAAAAAGTGAGGATGGCCCAGTTAATAATACTGCCACATCCATTATCTAGAACAGCCTCTGAATCACTTCTTATGATTGCCTCTCACAACAAGGGTACCAAATCCATGCTCACGCTAATTATTTTACCTAAAATAGTTCCCTCTTGTTTGACTGCATCAAAATTCTGTAACATGAAAGATGACTTTTTGAATTAGAAATGTGTGGAAACTTTCTCCCACAAACAGAGAAGCAGAATATGCAGTAGTTTTGCAGTATCTTTTCATTGCAGGGTTAAGCATAGATGCATTTGCTTCAGGTTAATGTAACTTAAAATACTTAAATATGTAAATTTGGGGTTTTGAGTGGTGGAGCCAGCACTCTTTGAATATGGTCTTCTAAATGAAGGGAGAATTCAGTGAATATGTTTATCTTTCCTTGCAGGCCATCTTTGAGCTTTCCCAAGGAGAAGAAGACTTGATAGAAGACTTGAAATTAGCAAAAAAGGTAAATTTAAATCCAGTCATTTGAGTCAAGTCACTTTTTTTTCTTGACTAATTTCACAACCCTAAAGTGGTGCTTCATGAGAACTCCTTTTATGACTAAAACTGGTCTGCTACCACACACCAAGCAGTGGGGAAAGTGCTTCAAAACCAGAGGACAGAATAGCTCTCCAGACCTGGCACCTTTAGGCATTTACCTCTGCATGTCTCTAATGCATGTCAAAGAATACTTCAGCCCAAATCAGAAAGTGTCCATGGAGGCCTCACTTTATGTATGTTTCGTTGTCCTAGAAGTCTCATATGTACGAGTCTTTGCCCATGGGAGAGAATGTGTGCTTCTCTGAAACTTGAACTGAGTCTTAGAAATAAAGCCATTTGAATCTCAAAAGCAAATAAAGTGAAATGAGGCAATTGCATACTGTCATATAAGCTGGGGTCTTTTATATAGGAATTTGTTTTCTAATCAACATTTTGTGTGGGGAGGAGGAAGACAACAAACCTTCCTCAAAAATGTTTTCATTCCAGTGGCACAGCCCCCCAACTCCATGGCTTGGAGGCTAAAACCAGACTCCTTCATCTGATATTCACAACCTCCTCGAAGAATCACGGGGTTGGAAGGATACCTTCCTTCTTTTAAGGGTTTTTAGTCTTTCTGCTAAGATGAAATTCCACCTCTAGCATTCCTGAGAGACGGCCACCCAAGCTTTGCTTGGACACAGCTAAGAAACTGAGTTTTAGGCAGGGCTGGAGGAGGAGATCAGAGAGGACAAAGAAGTTATTTCACTGTGAGAGTTATCATGCTGGTCATATGTGTAATTTCCCTTTCCTGCATGAAGATTTGCCAAACTCAAGCACCTTGAGATGTTTCCCGGCCATCCTTTTCCTCATGGTGGCCCTACCGTCCTACAAACTTTTCTCGTTCCTTTCAACCGTTCATATCCACCCATCCTTCAGGAACCAGCTCAAATCTCAGTTTATTCTTACATAACATTTATTGCCTCCTTCTCTGTACCAAGCAGCTCATCTTCAAAACTTTCCGTGGCCACTCCAGTTTTAATTCTCTGACCCTCTAGAGCAGTTTTGATTTGATGGCTTTTTGCTGTCATGTGACATCAGTCTTGATTTGAATCTTTAAATTTTAAACATAAGCCGGGTCTGGTGGCTCACACCTATAATCCCAACACTTTGGGAAGCTGAGGCGGGTGGATCACTTAAGGTCAGGAGTTCAAGACCAGCGTGGCCAGCATGGTGAAACCCCATCTCTACTAAAAAATGCAAAAATTAGGCCAGGCACGGTGGCTCACGCCTGTAATCCCAGCACTTTGGCAGGCCGAGGTCGGCAGATCACGAAGTCAGGAGATCGAGACCATCCTGGCCAACATGGTGAAACCCTGTCTCTACTAAAAGTACAAAAATTAGCTGGGTGTGGTGGCGTGCACCTGTAGTCCCAGCTACTCAGGAGGCTGAAGCAGGGAATTGCTTGAACCCGGGAGGCAGAGGTTGCAGTGAGCCAAGATCCACTGCACTCCAGCCTGGCGACAGAGCAAGACTCCGTCTCAAAAGAAAAAAAAAAAAAATTAACCAGGCGTGGTGGCAGGCACCCATAATCCCAGCTACTCAGGAGGTTGAGGCAGGAGAATCACTTGAACTCAGGAGACAGAGGTTGCAGTGAGCTGAGATCATGCCACTGCACTCCAGCCTGGGTGACAGAGCAAGACTCCATCTAAAAAAAAAAAAAGAAAAAAGAAAAAATTTCTTTTTTAAACATAGATTTAGTTTTCCATGAGATTGGAAACTAAAATATAAAACTAGAAAATATTTTAGTTTTTCTTATCTTCCCCATTAGCTTTATAAAATTCCTTGAAGGTAGGAGACTTCTAAGTCTTTGTATTCTACTTCAGTGCCCTGTGTATAACTGTGTATTCTTGTTGTTTAATTTTCTCTAATAAGAGGTGATAGGATTAGCAGAGGTTTTGCTCTCTTCGTTCAAATCAGTAGTAAAGGATACCAATCACTGTTTCTTTCCTCTTTTTCTTTATTTTAAATATGTACTAATTTAAAAAAAGAATCTGCTGGTAGCTAGTTTTGAATAAAGTGGGATTTTTTTTTAAAAGGCAGGATCTTGATTTTGAAAACATATTAACAGTCAAATCTGTTCTATACCTAGGATTTGTGCTCTTTCCTAGATACATGATATACTAGAATAAAAAAGCTTTTGAAAAATCTGCTTTGGTTTCTCAACCACAAAGGCTCAAGGCAGTGCTGGTTTCTCCTCTCCTCCAGCCACACCTGTCTGCTGTTCCTGCAGCTTTATGGGAGAAGTTGTTGTTAGAGAGCCAGAAGTTTTGTTATTGGATAGGACCTATCAGGAGTTACTTACATGAACATGTACTTCCTCTGATTTTAAACATTTGCTTCCATCTCTTGCCATTTTTGTGCAGGCCTATCATGACCCCATGCTGAAACTCTCCATAATGACAGAACAAGAGTTGAATCAAATTTTTGGAACACTGGACTCTCTAATCCCTCTACATGAAGGTATAATTTTGTTCCCAGGATGAGTTGTGACTTGTAGCCTTAATTGAGTTGTCTTATTAACGAGTGAGTGATTATGAAATGCCTGCAATGTGAATAACCTACTTCCAGCCCTGTTCATATTTGATTGCCTAACAAATAAGCATCTGTTTGTTTTTTGCCAGAGCTCCTTAGTCAGCTTCGAGATGTTCGGAAGCCTGATGGCTCGACTGAACACGTTGGTCCCATCCTCGTGGGCTGGGTAAGAAAGTTCTCTGGTCTTTATTGAAGATAAATTTCAAAAATATAGATGGGAGTTTCATTTTAGCTAGACTTTTTTTTTTTTTTTTTTCTTTTTACAAATACTGGTTTCGCATCAGAAAAAAAAAGCAAGTTCCTAGTAAAATTGTAATTATATTTAAACTTTGTATCTTTAAAGCATGAAAACAGTTTTTTTCTTGTTACAAATTTACTGCATTTAAAAGTAACAGGGCCTTTTGCAACAAAATAAGTAAAGGTACACATGAAACTATTACTAGTCTCATATCAAATGAAGTAAAACTAGTTAATATTCTATCAGGCCAATTGCTAGTATAATATAGTCCAATAAAAATTTAGTGACTTATCCACTACCAGAAAAAAAAAAAAAAAAAACTTTTCAGGCCATAAAAAAAATCTCATGGTCAAAATGTAGTTTTATAAACAAGATAATAAGTAAAGGTTGCTAATGTTTAGCATATAAAAAAAAACTTTTCAGGCCATAAAAAAATCTCATGGTCAAAATGTAGTTTTATAAACAAGATAATAAGTAAAGGTTGCTAATGTTTAGGATATATACCATGCTAAGTAATTTATAGGAGAGCTGGGTATTATGGTGACCTTCATCCCAACACAATCCATTCCTTTTCGTAATTAAATAAAAAGAAATAAGCTGTGATCTTAGATTAGGAGTCATAAATTTATGATCTTAGGGCTGGATTTGTATTGTGTACATAAAGTTGTTGTTTGTTTGGTTAACTTATGCCAGACAAGGCGTGTGCTCTATTTTGCCTCAGTCCCCACCACTCCCTATTCTATACATTTACGTTTCCTTCTGTGAGTACTTGAATGTTCCACCCCAGTTCCAGGTGTTTTTCGTCTGTTATGAAGCCGATAATGAGAGGAGATTACTTTGCTGACTTCTTCCAGGCAAGATTAGGTCTCTCATCACTCTGTTGCACACAGTATTCCAGAAAAATAGGCAGGAAGTACCACAACAGCTAATATTAGAGATCATTTCACTGTTTGGAGAGTGTTGTGAAGGTTATAAATCCTACTGTTGCTATGTGAGTTCTCTTTATTCAGTTACATCTGCATTTTAATCTTCCTAAAACCTTTCGGTTCACATGCCTTGATAATACATAGATGTGCAGAAAGTTTTAACATTGATCTTTTAACTTTATGTTTCTCAGTGACTGCCTTGATCAAGATACTTGATGAGAGTTTCATGACTTAGGTAGCTTTAGTTCAGGAGTCAATTTTAGCACCAAGGCTGAAATATACCAAGGGATCTGAAAGGCAAGTAATGGTCTAAGATGAATAATTTAGAAAATATGCCTTAATATTTCAAGAGAGATCATTCATCTTATATTTTTGACTTTCATTTTATTATGAGCCATGGTAGATGTCAAAACATCTTTAGCCTACAAAGAAATTTCTCCAAAGAGAGCCAGCCAACTGGAGACAGAGACAGAGAAGGTATAATGAGCAGAGAGTCTGCCTCAATATCTCTTAAACTTCCTGAGTCTGTGGAGTGTTTTGATACGGGGGTAAACGGAGCAGTTAGGTCGCACTCCAGAATTTGTAGGATAACTCCTCTGCTTTTGATGAGACAGCAGTACAGGACTACATGGTTTCCTTAAGCATCATATGCAAATTGTCAATTTATGCCAGAAGCAAAATTGTAGGAATTTGCCTTGTTATTAACTTTTTGCTGAAATAAACATTTGTCATGTTTATTAGAAAATTGGTGTGATCTGGGAACAGCTTTGCAGTCCTTTTCTGTACATACCCAAAGGAAGTGTGACCATGCTGGCCCATTGCTATCTGGACGCTTCAGGCATCAAATGAGGACTTGGATCTTGAAGAGCAGCCTAAAATTAAACAACTGGCCCGTTGTTGCCAGACTTCATGAGAAATGGCCCTTATTTATCAGGCCCGACGAGCTGTTAAATGTTTTCCTCTTTTAACTGCAGATGTGTCCGTGTGAGTGGGAACAGTAAACCTAGGGGTACATATGTTTGAGTTCTTGTATTTTTAACAGAACAAAATAAACATCTTAGTGGACTTTGGATGAGAAAAGTCAGAGCCCATTCGACCCATGAAAAATTGATTTATTTTCCTCGCAAAGGAAAAAAGTGAGGGGGGAAAAAATCCTTTTAAACAAGTGAGCCTTCCAAGTGGGACAGCCCTGGCAAGTCCTTTTGACCTTAGAATGAATCAATTACTTTTACTTTGAAGACTTTAAACAGAGTGGTTGCTTTTTTTCAGGGAACTACCCCGGTTACTGAGAATCAGTGTCCCCCCCTCCCTAGTGGGTCAGCCTGTTTGAGTAAGCCTTCTCTAGCATAAAGAAACAACCTCCAAGTGACTTATCTCCATGCCAACGTTTTTTCAATGATAAAATACTTTATAAGCTCTCCAAGGCAGAAAGTTCTCATGTTAATTTGATGTCTCATTAAATTTTAATTCCTAAGAAAGAGCCAGGATACATGGAAGCAAAAAAAAAAAAAAATAGATTTGTTCACAATATTAGGGGGATAATAGAACTTCTTTAAAAAGTGAGTTTCCTTTATAAATTCTTGATAGTCTATTTAATAAAGAGATGGCGAATAGTTCAGAACTCTGAAGGTAAAGGGGAAGCAAGAAGAAGTGTCAGACTCTAGTTTTGTCTCCAGCTGAGCAAGTAGCTTCGGTTCTCTAAACGACAGTTTCTTCAATAAGAATATTCTAGGGCCCAAGCGCGGTGGCTCATGTCTGTAATCCCAGCACTTTGGGAGCCTGAAGTGGGTGGATCGCTTGAGCCCAGGAGTAGGAGACCAGCCTGGGCAAAATGGCGAAATCCTGTCTCTACAAAAAAAATACTAGCTGGCATGGTGGTGTGTGCCTGTAGCCCTAGCTACTTGAGAGGCTGAGGAGGGAGAACTGCTTGAGCCTGGGAAGAAGAGGCTGCAGTGAGTCATGATCATGCCACTGCTCTCCAGCCTGACTGACAAAGCAAGACCTTGTCTCAAAAACAAAGAACTTCTTGGGACAAGTAATAATAGCTAGTACTTACTGATTCTTAATCAGAAGCCAAGCTCCATGCTACACTTTTTGTATGCTTTACCTCATTAAGGGAGAGAGGGACATTAGTATATACGTTTTGTAGGTGGAGACACTGAGGCTTGGAAGAGTCACTGACAGCTGTGTGAGTTAGGCTTTGAATCTGATTCTCCCTATTTCTGAGTCTGTTCTTTTTTCCAAGACAGAGTCTCGCTCTGTCGCCAAGGCTGGAGTGCAGTGACGCGATCTCAGCTCATTGCAACCTTTGCCTCCTAGGTTCAAGTGATTCTTGTGACTCAGCCTCCCAGGTAGCTGGGATTACAGGCATGCACCACTATGCCCAGCTAATTTTTATTTATTTTAATAAAGACAGGATTTTGCCATGTTGCCCAGGCTGGCCTCAAACTCCTGACCTCGAGTGATCCACCCGTCTCAGCCTCCCAAAGTAATGTGATTACAGGCGTGAGCCACCGCACCCTGCCTAGTCTCTACCTGCATTTTCACCTCTCACATTCTGAATGAGTGTCTGTATTTTGAGAACCAGATCTTGTACATTCTTCACCCTGTGTAGTTAAAGATCACTTGGGGCCTTTCCTAGCTGGTGACTGAACCAGATAGCCTTTCAGGTCATGCCCAGGAAATGAGCACCCTGTCAGGTGAGAGCACAGGACCAGAGCCCCATTTGGTTGCCATGGTAGCAGGGCAGCAGGATCACAGGGAGCAGTGACCCATTGGACAGCGAGCAGCAGTGTGGTCAAGGTTCCTCACTAGTTTACATCCGATGGTTACTGCTGATTTGTTTCTTCTAATGAAAACATTGGGCATTTCCAGATCTTTTTAAAAGGTGAGGAAGTGGAAATTAAATGAAGAGGGCCTGAGGCCCTTTTTAATTAACTCTGAAAATCTAAATTACAAGCCACAGTACCACGTCTGGGTTCTCTGTGTGTGTGTGTGTGTGTGTGTGTGTGTGCGTGCGTGTGCGCGCGCATGCGCGTGCATGCGCGCGCATGTATAAGTACCAATTATCATTACTTTAAAATAATAGCTAGTATTTACACAAATATAAGGTTGAGGGAAAAAATTTCTGCAACTCTTTAACATAAGTAGAGAATTTTAATAACAGGTAAGTAAGGTAGACATTTCCAAGGAATGTTAAGCTCAATAGTGAGCTTGTAAAATATTACTTTACTGGTATCCTTTTTTTGCTTTCAGTCACTGAGGAAATAATTTTAATAAGAGGTGTAAAAGCAGCAGCAGAGTATTTGAAGTTTCAGATGCTGCCATACTTTATTTATTTATTTATTTATTTTTTGAGACAGAGTCTCGCTCTGTTGCCCAGGCTAGAGTGCAGTAGCGCGATATTGGCTCACTGCAACCTCTGCCTCCTGGGTTCAAGTGATTCTCCTGCCTCAGCCTCCTGAGTAGTTGGGATTACAGGTGTGTGCCACCATGCCTGGCTAATTTTTGTATTTTTAGTAGAGACAGGGTTTCACTATGCTGGCCAGCCTGGTCTCAAACTCCTGACCTCGTGATCCACCCACCCCAGCCTCCCAGTGTGCTGGGATTACAGGCATGAACCACTGAGCCTGGCCGCCATACTATATTTTTTAGCAATATTCCCAAACCATCAAATATTACCTAATCTTGTAATCCATTAAACATACATTTATTTGTTCATTCAGAACAGAGTGTCTGCCATATAGTAGGCCCAATGCAAAGTAGTGAGGATACAGAAATGAAAGACACTCTTTTGCCAGTGTCTTGCACTGAATCCCTCTAAAGAGCAGGTGTTACAGGGAATAGGGCTTCTTAGTACAAGAGAGAGAAACAAAAGCAGTTAGGCCATTGGCTGCATTTGATTGCTTCTGGCAACTTTCTGGAGGCTGATAGCTCTTAGATTAGAATGCCAAGGCAGAAAAAGTGGATGAGAAGCCTTTTCCGTTGAGTCTCTGACATGGTGTTTGCACAGTGTGAATGATGGAATATGTCAGAGAAATGAGCATTTTGCTGGAATGAAGGCAGTGAAGGTTAAATGTTCCAAAGTCTTTAAGTTTAAATTGTTCATGACATAGTATTGTGATGTTAACTGTTAGTGATAGCCAAAACTTGTTTCTGACCTGTTAGAACTAGTTTAAAAGATTTTTATGAATGCTTTCTGCATCTGATTTTTTAGTAATCATACTTTTGCTTTAACTTCTTGAGGCTCTTTATAATTGGGTGCTTTGGAATCAGGTAATCATAAACTAATGTTGACTAATATAGGTATTTGAGCCATGCAAAGGGCTGGGCTGTGGAGTATGACCCTTTGCCTCCTTTTTGTGCCACTAAGTCTTCTAGATGAGTTTCTTATTAATAATTTCAAATGAAATCCTATGTTTTTTAAAATAAATTAGGAGGCTTTTACGTGACTGGATATCCTTGGAAGGTTAGGAAAATTCTGAACTGTATGTACATGCAGTAATTTCACTTCTTTTGTTTCTAGTTTAGTGTATTAATCTGTTCTCGCACTACTATAAAGAAATACCTGAAACTGGGTAATTTATAAAGAAAAGAGGTTTAACTGGCTCGTTTTTGCAAGCTGTACAGGAAGCATGGCTTGCGGGGACCTCGGGAAACTTTCAGTCATGTCAGAAGCAGAAGCAGGCATGTCTTACATGGCCAGAACAGGAGGAGGAGAGCAGCGGGGCAGGGGCTGCTACATACTTTTAAACAACCATATCTCCTGAGAACTCACTCACTATCACAAAAACAGCAAGAGGAAATCTGCCTCCATGATTCAATCACCTCCCTGCAGTTCCCTCCTCCAACATTGGGGATTACAATTCGACATGAGATTTGGGCAGGAACACAAATCCAAACCATATCACTTAAATTGGCAGAAAATGCAAACAAACTATGGTAAGAGTCTTAAGAAAGTAAACAGGCAATTAAGAAAATTACTTTGTGAAAGCAAGCCAGAGCCTAAGAAAACTGTCCACTGCCTGCCATGTTGAAGATTCCACTAGTTTCCTCCAGCCATGCAGATAAAGGAATGTCAGCCAGACCCAGAGACAAGTTAGGTATTTGTTCAGTCCCAATAAATGATGCCACTTGTAGCCTCAGAGCTCAATTATTTTGACATTCCAACCTTCTCTTTCTGTTTCCTTCTTAGCTCCCTTGCCTCAGCTCCTATGACAGCTACTGCAGCAATCAAGTAGCCGCCAAAGCTCTGCTGGACCACAAAAAGCAAGATCACCGAGTCCAGGATTTCCTACAGCGATGTTTAGAATCCCCCTTTAGCCGCAAACTAGATCTCTGGAATTTCCTCGATATTCCAAGAAGCCGTCTGGTAAAATACCCTCTGCTTCTCCGAGAAATCTTGAGGCACACACCAAATGATAATCCAGATCAGCAGCACTTGGAAGAAGCTGTAAGTTTGTCTGTTTCCTTCTTTCTCTTCTTGTTATTTCCACCATAATGGCTGGTGGATTGGGTCAGCGGGTGAATGGAAGAGTCCTTGGGTACTTAGTACTCAGGAATCTTGGGTTCCAGGCCTGGCACTGCCATCGTCCATGTTTTGATTTTACAAGTCACTTCTCCTCTCTCTGCCTCAGTTTCCTAAACTGTAAAATGCAGTGTTTACATGAAACACACTGTAAGGTCCCTTAGGCAGTAAAATTCTTGGTTTTACATAGGTGACTCTAATCTGGTGTTACAGTTGCTGACTGTGAGGGATAACACCGTTGTGTAGATTTTAAATTTTGTTTGGTTATAAAGTAATAAGTTGCCTTTTAGCCTAGCCCCAAAGCTCATTTGTGAAGTGGACATCCATTTAAGATCTAGCTCCCTTTGGCCCCCGATTACAGTGGGTTGCCTTGTCAAACCTCCTGCTCACTAGTGGGATCCTCACTCAGTAAATGGTTATTGAGTACGAGCTGGACATGATGCCTCATGCCTGTAATCCCAGCACTTTGGGAGGCTGAGGTGGGCAGATCACTTGAGGCCAGGAGTTCAAGACCAGCCTGGCCAAAAAAGCAAAACCCTGTCTCTACTAAAAGTACAAAAAAAATTACTGGGCGAGGTGGCATACGCCTGTAATCCCAGCTACTCAGGAGGGTGAGGCACAAGAATCGCTTGAGCCCGGGAGGTAGAGGTTGCAGTGAGCTGAGATCATGCCACTGCAACTCCAGCCTAGGCAACAGAGTGAGACTGTTTAAAAAAAAAAAAAAAAAAAAGATTATTGAGTGTGGGCTGAGTAATCTGGGAAATACATATTTTTCCCTAGCAGCAATAGGAGACGAGGAAAAATGGGGTGCCTATCACGAGAATATTGTAAACTGTGAGCATTCCACCCAGAAAGTGCCATTCTGGTTGAAGTACTCTGCATGGTAGAGATGGCAGATGGCAGGCCATGGGGAGTGGGTGGCCTGAGCAAAGATATAAAGACAGGACAGGTCATGCCTGGGGAATATCATAGATCAGTTGGCCTGGGGTTAGGGGTCCTCTGAGAAAACAGCAGGAGAGAAGACAGAGGATATGGGTTCAGATCTGGTTATAGAGGTTTTTAAATATTTAAGAGATTTTTCCTTTGTCATGCAATTAATTGAAGTTTGTTTTTGTTTGTTGGTTGGTTTCTAAGTAGCTAGGATTCAGGATTCAAATCCCAGCTCCATCATTTACAAGCTATGTAACCTTGGACACATACTCTTGGTAGAATGGGGAACTGAGGAGGAAGAGACTGGTGATAAGGATGCAAGTTCGGAGGATGCTGTCCGGGTGTGAAAACCTGATCAAGGAGGTGGCAGTGGGGGATAGAGGCTAACAGATCATTCAGAGGGCTCATTTTCTGATGTAATCTGGGACAATAATAGAAGGAGGATATGCATAAGTAATTTGAAAATCAGAAGCCTTGAACCTGCTGAGCAAACAGCCTATTTCCTCCCAGATAGGAGTTTCATAATAAGTAGTAGTAACAACAATCATGGTAATAATTGCTGGCATTGAATACCTAGTAAATCAACTTTATGTAATTTGCCTCATAGGTTATGTATCTCATTTAACCCTCACAACAGCCTAGGAGATAGCTGTTCTTATTAGGGCCATTTTCCAGATGAGGCTTGGAGGGGTTAAATAGCTCGCCCGGGTCCACAGCCAGCAATTGATGCAGTTGATGTTCAAACCCTGTCAGTGTAGACTCCAAATCCTGTGCCCTTCTACTTCTTTATGATTCTATACCTTGATGCAGGAAGCCTGCCCACCACTTTCTGTTGCCTTTATAATTGCAGAGAGCTGTCTGCTCACCAGCCTCACCGGTGCAGAACTGGGCTGGGTGCCTCCAGGTAGGATAGAAAAGAATAATAAAGGACCCTCTTCTGATTCATGAGGTATTCAGTGTATCTGGTAGGCCCAACACACAGAGATCAGGCCTGCAGTCCAGCACAGATCAGGGACGCAGGCACTGGGTTGAGGCCCATCTCACTTCATCATGTCTGTTTTTTTATTACTGGGAAGAGTGCGATAGAGTTGCCTCCTCTCCATATTTCATCCCAGCAAGTGTGTGGTCTGCAGGAATAAAAACAACAGGGAGCATGAGCTACTCAAAATCATGACTTTTTTGAAGCATGGGAGCCTGTTCTGAGTTACTGTAAAGATTTTTTTTTTAATATGGAGCATGAAAGAATACTGTTCTGTTTTTTTAAAAAAAAATACCCAGTGAGCTAAAGTTTGAATTTAAAAACAGATAAGAATGTGATTGTGTGTAATATAAAATGATGTGCTAGTAACCAGTTTCCCTAGTGCATAAAGTATGAAGCCATTTTCAAAAGTTGACTCTGCACCTGGTTATTCAGGCAGATCTGTGCATGAAACATGGTATACCTGCATTTGAAAATGTCTGCAAAGCAAGTCTTCCAAATGCCTACTCACACAGTATACGCACAGGATTTTTTTCCCCCTCTTTACAAAATCCTCGTAGCATTACCCCAGATGAACAGAATTATTTAGCCCTGTACTCTTGGGTGCATTATGAATGTCTGATAAACATAAAACCCATAGCACCAATATAGCTTGACAAATATCCCCTGAATAAATTTTCCCATCAATGAAAGGGGAAAAATCAGAGAGTGCTAAGTAAATTGCTTCCGTTCCAAGGGAGTTGATTGCATTCAGACCTATGATTAGATCTAAAAAGAGGTCTTGCCTTTAATGTAGTGCCTAAACTACCACATCTTTATTAGAATTTCTTAATAATGCTTTGAGGGTTGATAAAAAATTTTTCCCAAAAGAGAACTTCTTAAAATAGGAGTTTGGATATTCAGATATTCCAGAGAACTTGGTCATTTAATGTTTTAAATTCTAAGGATTTTTCTGCCAGAAAATGATCCTGCAGAGCATCCCTTCCCCCTACCCACCACTATTTCTCAACTCCTAAAAAAAAAAATCGCTGAAATAAGTGGGAAAACAGTCCTGCTTTTGATGCAACAGCCATGAAGACTGCTATTCTTGGTTCATGGCAGGAGCCAATGAGTATCATGGCACAAGGAACCAGACAGTCAGGGCTTTCAGAGTCCACTTTGAGGATGATGAGTCCAGCACATGTGCACTTAATCTCTGTACTGTTACCAGGTATCTCTCATCATCTCCCTTTACCAGTCCCTTCCTTCAGTTTGAACCCAGTGAGAGATGCAACAATAAATTTAATTTAAATGCACAACTACTGTGACTGTTGTCTGGCTAATGGCAGCCTGCTGTATGTAACTTTATGCCTCCCTGAAATTCTGCAAAATAAATCTCTCTCAAGAACCAATGCAGAGGCCAGGAGCAGTGGCTCACGCTTGTAATCCCAGCACTTTGGGAGGCCAAGGCGGGCGGATCACCTGAGGTCAGGAGTTCAAGACCAGCCTGACCAACATGGAGAAGCCCCGTCTCTACTAAAAATACAAAATTAGCCTGGCATGGTGGTGCATGCCTGTAATCCCAGCTACTCAGGAGGCTGAGACAGGCGAATTACTTGAACCCAGGAGGCGGAGGTTGCAGTGAGCAAGATTGTGCCATTGCACTCCAGCCTGGGCAACAAGAGCGAAACTCAGTCTCCTGTCTGATAAACATCAGTGCAGTGAGATAAAACCCTCATGATATTCAGGTAGATAGAAATACAAAACATTATTTTTAATAAATGAAAGCAGACCCACAGTTACTATTATAAATGTATACATAGAACATGGAATGAGAACACTGATTGTTTCCATTGTTTTGTCTCTGTTTTTGAAACACCAGCAAAAGAAGCAGTATTTGAAACTAATCATAGCTGCATAAGGAACCGCCATGGCATTTGAGTTTATTAATCTTCATGTGATATGCCAGCTGTTCAGTTCCTGAGTTAAATTAGGAAATGAACACATATTTATGACTATAGTGCATCTTCTTTCTGGTTTCCTGGATACTTGCAGGCAACTCAGAAAATTGACTCAAGTGCTGATTAATTCCAGCTGTACAGGTACACCTGGTAACAATTAACTGATAAGTCACAGCGACTAATGCTGAGGTCTTTAATAGTAAGGAAAAAGCATGGATTTCACTACATATTGTAAAATATGGAAAGGTAAAAGGATAAAGTAGACATAACACAGTTGCTCAGATACCTCCCATTTGTTTTAAGCTTCTTGAAGGCAGGAATCTTCTCATTTCTGTGAATGCTACCACTTAGTCTAACATGGAACAGGTTCTCAGTAAACATTAAATTAATTTGAAGGATGAGTCATGGCTTTAGTATAGTTTGTGAAATTATTTTGTCTTGAAAGTAACAGTGAAAATCAGTCATTTTTGAAAACCAAGAAAGGAAAAAAGAAAGTAAGGAAGTATACCAAAGTGTTCTGCTATTTATTGTTTTATGTTAATAAAGCTCAAATTACTTTTACAGAATTTATATTTAATATTAGATTGACGTCAAAGGCCAAAAAGCTTCTTCTGTAACACTAAAGAGCCTATATTTTTTAAAATAAGGATTTTTTTTTTTTAATCAAAGTAGTGAGTGCTACCACCACAATTTGAGAAATAGAGAAAAGAATAAAGAAATCTTTGAAACTTTTGGCCAGGCGCGGTGGCTTATGCCTGTAATCCCAGCACTTTGGGAGGCCAAGACAGGCGGATCATGTGGTCAGGAGTTTGAGACCAGCCTGGCCAACATGGCGAAAGCCCGTCTCTACTAAAAATACAAAATTTAGCTGGGTGTGGTGGCAGGTGCTTGTAGTCCCAGCTACTCAGGAGGCTGAGGCAGGAGTATCGTATCGCTTGAATCCGGGAAGCAAAGGTTGCAGTGAGTCAAGATCGTGCCATTGCACTCCAGCCTGGGTGAAAAGAGCAAGACTCTGTCTCAAAAGAAAAAAAAAAAGAAAGAAAGAAAAGATATTTGAAACTCTTAATAGCTACAGAGAATGTACAGATTATGGTCTCTCCATACATTCACCAAACTTCAGCTGAAAGCTGTAAGATCTTCTGTCAAACTTGTAGAGAAGTACAAAAGTTATAACTGAGTAACAGTTTTTACCCAGTTGCTTTTGGCAGACAATATCATTTTACTGGCATATGAAAAAATAATCACTTGGCCAGACGCAGTGGCTCATGCCTGTAATCCTAGCATTTTGGGAGGCCAAGGCAGGCAGATCACTTGAGTCCAGGAGTCAGAGACCAGCCTAGGCAACATAGCAAAACCCCATCTCCATGAAACATGCAAAACTTAGCCAGGCATGGTGGCATACACCTGTGGTCCCAGCTATCAGGAGGCTGAGGTGGGAGGATCACTTGGGCCCAAGAGGCAGGGGTTGCAGTGAGCTGAGATGGCGCCACTGCACTCCAGCCTGGGCGACAGAATGAGACCCTGTCTCAATGAAAGAAAAAAAGAAAAATAATTACTTAACAATCCTAGATAGAATTTATTACTATTTTAAGACATGATAACTTCTGACTGAGCAAAGGCCTCTTTTGGAACCTTGCTTTTCAGAGATTGACTTTTCTTTTAAGTAAATGTGACGAAGAAGAAACCTTATCAACATTTTCCATCTGTCAAGTACTTTTCAGTTACCACCACAAGAACGATGGGACTGTAGGTCTTTTCACTTTTAGGGGACAGAGAATCCTGCTAAGGAAATCATTGCTCTGCCTCTGATTGGTGTCATGGAGTTTTTTATTTTTCTGAGACAGGGAGTCTTGCTCTGTCGCCCAGGCTCTAGTGCGGTGGCGTGATCTCGGCTCACTGCAACGTCTGCCTCCCAGGTTCAAGCGATTTTCACACCTCAGCCTCCCAAGTAGCTGGAATTACAGGTGGGCACCACCTCGCCTGGCTAATTGTTTTTTGTATTTTTAGTAGAGACAGCATTCACTATGTTGGCCAGGCTGGTGTGGAACTCCTGACCTCAAGTGATCTGCCTGCCCTGGCTTCCCAAAGTGCTGGGATCACAGGCATGAGCCACCGCGCCTGGCCTGGTGTCATTAAGTTTTGCTCAACTAATTTCTCATCCCTTTTCTAGCGTTTTATAACATTTAGATATATTCATATGACAGAATGGCCAACACATCAGAATAAATATCCACTGACCACATCTCAGGCGGTACTCTTGTTTTTGTATTGACAACATTGCATCCACCATCACTTTGGAATCTTCTGCCCAAACTTACTCACTCACATGTGCTCTAGACCCTGGGTGTGAGTGTATTTATACAGACTATCCCCATCATTATACTGGTGTCTTTTTTCCCATTATTTTTTCTCTGTTCTTTATAAATGTTTATATTATATCATTGAAAAAGATATCCAGGCCAGGCACGGTGGCTCACACTTGTAATCCCAGCACCTTGGAAGGCAGAGGTGGGTGGATCACTTGAATTCAGGAGTTCGAGACCAGCCTGGGCAACATGGTGAAACCCATCTCTACTAAAAATACAAAAATTGGCCAGGCGCGGTGGCTCGTGCTTGTAATCCCAGCACTTTGGGAGGCCAAGGCGGGCGGATCGCAAGTTCAAGAGATCGAGACCACCCTGGTCAACATGGTGAAACCCTGTCTCTACTAAAAATACAAAAAATTAGCTGGGCGTGGTGGTGCTTGTAGTCCCAGCTACTTCAGGAGGTTGAGTGAGGAGAATCACTTGAACCCAGGAAGCGGAGGTTGCAGTGACCTGAGATCGCGCCACTGCACTCCAGCCTGGCGACAGAATGAGACTCCGTCTCAAAACAAACAAAAAATACAAAAATTAGTTGGACGTTGTGGCGGACACCTGTAATCCTAGCTACTTGGGAGGCTGAGGCAGAAGAATCGCTTGAACCTGGGAGGCCGAGGTTGCAGTGAGCCAAGATTGTGCTATCTCACTCCAGCCTGGGCAACAAGAGGGAAACTCCATATCAGAAAAAAAAAAAAAAAAAAAGATATTCAAACCATTTGTTCAAACCCAATTTGCAAATATTGTTCGTACATTGGATTGAGTACATATAGAGAGACATTGAAGCTATTAATTGTGTCACATCCTCAAAGACAGTCCCTCTTTTGGACTCTTACATTCTGCTTTATTTTCTCTCCTTAGCCAATTTTTTTATATGGCTACGTTTTCAACATTGTGAGCACGTTTTAAGAAATGTGCAGCCTGGAGCTCAATAGGTATCCCTTCCTCCCAGATAAAATTATTCATCAATATTAGTTTTATGTATAATATAAATATCTTTATATGTGTACAAATAAATGTGTGTGTATGTGTACAGATGGATGGATAGATGCAGTATACTAAAAGTATTTATGTTTTTTTTTCTCTTTTCCCAAAGTAGCAACTTAGATAACAGAATTAGATCCAGGTGTGTCCTGGTGTTCTTCTAGGCTGAACCCCTAAGACTTGGTGGGAATGGTGTGCTGCTTTCCTCCATACTTAATTTTCCTCTTTGTTTCCATAGATAAATATCATTCAGGGAATCGTGGCAGAAATCAACACCAAGACTGGCGAATCTGAATGCCGCTATTATAAAGAGCGGCTTCTTTACTTGGAAGAAGGCCAGAAAGACTCCCTGATTGACAGCTCTCGAGTCTTGTGTTGTCATGGTGAACTGAAGAACAATCGGGGCGTGGTAAGTAGTTACTCCCTTTAAGCACTCTCATCCTCCTCCCCTATCCCTAATTCATTTGATGTGGAGCCTCCTCTTACAATTTCTTCCCTATCTAGGGTCATGTTCTTTTTTTTTGAGATGGAGTCTTGCTTTGTCACCCAGGCTGGCTCACTGCAACCTATGCCATCCCAGGTTCAAGCAATTCTCGTGCCTCGGCCTCCCAAGTAGCTGGAACTGCAGGCATGCACCACCACGCCCGGCTAATTTTTGTACTTTTTTAGTAGACACAGGGTTTCACCATATTGGGCCAGGGTGGTCTCAAACTCCTGAGCTCAAGTGATCCGCCCACCTTGGCCTCTCAAAGTGCTGGAATTACAGGCTTGAGCCACCATACCTGTCATTCATTCTTTCAAACAAAAATTGCTTTTCCAGTGTCATTTATGTCACAAGACCATATGTGTATATGTATATGTATATATTCATTCATATTTTGTAATTCATATTTTGTAATTCCAATATTCAGAAAGAATTTTGGAAACCAACATAGGGTTGCCAGCTATTTATTTTGTTTGATCATGACTTTGAAAAACAAATGCAGAATAGTGAACATCTCTCACTTTGATTTAAGAAAATAAAGGATGATCTTAATAAGATGTTAGAAGGATTTAATCTCAGAAAAACAGTCTTCAGTTGAATGCATTTAACTTCTTTATTGTGGATTAGGGCCCATCCACAGACTGGCATTTTGAAACCAGTTTTTTAAAAATAACAACCTATCTTCTATTGGTTGCATATTTAGCTTTGACCTATAGATACCCATTTCCTGGCTTTTATTCCCAAGTGGATACCAATGGTTCCTCTTCTGCTATCATAGCAACTGTGCATATGTCCCTTAGAGCACTTAATATAGTGAGTTGCAATTCTCCATTTGTCTGTCAGTATATTCCATTATACCATGTTATTTTGGTGGGGGAACTGTGTTTTGTCAACCTTGGAATCTATTATGGGGACCTGGCACATACTAGGTACTCAATGAATGAATGCTTATTTAAAGAGAAAGATGAATTTGAATTATATGAGAGTTCAAAATTCATTTAGCTCACTAAGCTATTTGTATGTATAGCCAGTAGAAATTGTGTGTGTGTGTGTTTAAATTTCTGTGTTGAGATAACCATTGGGAGAGAGACTCTGCATTTTGATTGTATTTCATCTTCAGTATCTAGCCAACCCTTAGAATGAAAGCCAAAACTAGATTGAAGGGTTCTTAATAAAGTTTTGATAATTCAAGGGACATCCGTTTAGCCTAGACTGAGCAGACATGGAAATATTACTTGAAATCAGTAAATACATGTTATAACCCATTATCAGGGATGCTGTGGATCCAGCCAGTGCATGGTACAGTGCGGGTAATGAGGCCTATCAAGTCTGTTGCTTGAAGACGTGTGTCTGTGGGACTAGGGAGTTACTGATTGCTAGAAAGCTGCATTGTTTCTTGCTTATTTTCAGAAAGCACCTGTGGACTTCTAGTATCTGACACCAAGCTCCTTGAACGTTCTTTCTAGGAAGCCCAATGAGAAATAGGAAAATGCACTGCTCCACAGGGTGCAAGCCTATTATCTTTCTGTACATCAGTCAAGGACTGAGAACTCTCTGGTTAGATGTGCCTAGGGCATAAAGATAAACTCTAGTTTTTATTGCAGGCAGATAGATGTTTGAGAACAAAGATAGTTGGGGTGAGAGGCTTGTGGGGTTTTTTCCCCCCAGTAGAGTTGTAAAAGTCATTGTGAATAGCTGGGCTCATGCCTGTAATCCCAGCACTTTTGGGAGGCTGAGGCAGGCAGATCATGAGGTCCAGGAATGAGACACATCCTGGCTATACCGGTGAAACCTGTCTCTAACTAAAAAATACAAAAAAATTACAGACGCGGTGCGGGCGCCTGTAGTCAGCTACTCGGGAGCTAGGCAGGGAATGGTATTTTTTGGAAACCAGATGCGGGGGGGGGTTTGCAGTAGCGAGTTCTGCCACTCACTCACCTGGGGGGGGGCGACAGCAAGACCCATCCAAAAAAAAAAAAAAAAAGTCACTGGTGAATAACGTCTTGGTCGAAAAAAAAAAAAGCAGTAGTTGGAGGCAGGAAGAGCTGAGACCAATAAGAAAATATATCTGACATTCATAAATGCTTTTTGCTGTTTGTTTGTTGTTTGTTTTTTGAGACCAGAGTGCTTGCTCCTGTTGTCCCAGATAAGATGCATGGCACGATCCTTGGCTCACTGCAACCTCCCGCCTCGCCGGTTCAGCCAGTTTTTGCCCTCAGCCCCCGAGTATGGAAATTACAGGCACACCACCACCTGCTTGGCTAATTTTTGCATTTTAGTAAAGAGAATGTGGTTCCACCCATGCGTGGCCAAGCTGTTCTTAATTCCTGACCTCAATGATCCATCCCCTCGGCCTCCCAAAGTGCTGGGTTCAGGAGTGAGCCACCGTGCCACCTAGTTGTATTTTAAAAGGTTGGCCCAGACAGTCTCAGCCACTTGGCTGGAAACATTTATAGAAGTAGAAACAGTGTAAAAAATCTGATTATGTCCAAAATACTGTACCTTAAACATCCCCAAAAGAAAAATTTTAACAATATATTTCCACAAACCACACAAAAAGCCTTTACTGGTTTTGTGCCTTTATCTGTATTTTCAGTCTTCTAAATATACATTTTTTCCCTCATAGCAAATTTGTGGGATTTGTCTGTTTTTGTGTGGTTTGGGAGGTAGTAGGAAATAGGGTGGGAGTGACGTATGGGTTTCTTTTTCCAATAAAATGATCTAATAATATTAGTGTGCTTCCACTACGTCCCAACAGTCCAAATCATCAAAGTTTTAATTCAGTTCCCATTTTTGTTTTAGATCCAGGGGTATATGTCAGGTTGGTTACAAAATATACTGCATGGTGCTGAGAATGGGGCCTTCTGTTTGATCCCATCATCACCCAGATAGTGAACATAGTACTCGATAGGAAGTTTCAAGCCTTCCCTCTCACTCCCTCTTGCCTTTTTAGAGTCCCCAGTGTCTGTTTCCTATCTTTATGTCCATGCGAACCAAAGTGAGAACTCTCCTCTTCTGGTCTCCCCCTTTAAGACCGCTGGATTGACATTCCCAGATATTCCACAGAAAGCTAGAACCTAGTTGCAAAGTTTGGTATTTTCACTTCAGTTCCTAGCATTTCCAAACTGATGAGAAGAGTCTGGCACTTAGCATTGAATGGACAAATTTACCCCAACTCCACAAGGCACACCTGCTTCATAATGGGGCCTAAACAAGCCTTCATTTTTTGCAATTTCTCTTTGCCCACATCACACAATCAGTTGTCAACTTTTTCCTTCAGAGAACCAAGGTTCTGATGAACTAACTGAGAAGGAAAATGTGGATCTTTTTTTTTTGAGACAGAATTTGCTTGTCTCTCAGGCTGGAATCAATGGCCCGATCTCAGCTCACTGCAACCTCTACCTCCTGGGTCAAGAATTCTCCTGCCTTAGCCTCCTGAGTAGCTGGATTATAGGCACCCACCACTGCACCCGGCCAATTTTGTATTTAGTAAGATGGGGTTTCACCATGTTGGCCAGGCTGGTCTTGAACTCCTGACCTCAGGTGATCCACCCACCTCGGCCTCCCAAAGTGCTGGGATTAGAGGCGTGAGCCACCCCACCCGGCCTGATGATCTTTCTTTGTGGCTGTGTCAGCATACTCTGGTTCCCTCAGGAATGAGCAGTCTTCTGATTTGGAGTTCCTGGATAAAGCTGATAATGACTCTGTGGTTGAAGGAACAAGTCTTTTTTATGGGTTTGGAAAGCAAAGATTAATATTAGCTTTGATATACCAGTCTCATTTTTTATAGACTATTTGTAATTTTGATGTTTTAGAATTTTTTTTTTTTTTCCGGAGACAGTCTCGCTCTGTCACCCGGGCTGAAGTGCAGTGGTGTGATCTCGGCTCACTGCAACCTCTGCCTCCTGGGTTCCAACGATTCTTCTGCCTCAGCCTCCCGAGTAGCTGGAATTACAGGCGCCCCCATCCCCCCAACCTCGCCTGGCTAGTTTTTGTATGTTTTGTATTTTTTAAATTTTTTTAGATGGAGTCTTGCACTGTCGCCCAGGCTGGAGTGCAGGCATGAGCCACGGCGCCCGGCCTAGTTTTTGTATTTTTAATAGAGATGGGGTTTCACCATATTGGCCAGGCTGGTCTCGAACTCCTAACCTCAAGTGATCCGCCCACCTCAGCCTCCCAAAGTGCTAGAATTACAGGTGTGAGCCACCACATCCGGCCTGCTTACTTAGAATTATATTGAGTAATAAAACCAAAGCCAAGAGAGTGCTAACTTTTTTTCCCTTCATTACCCTCTTGATTCTATTTCCCTTTCTCGTTTTTTTCTTATAGGAGCTGGGGCAGATATGTCTGTACAAGTTGTGAATTGCAATATGAATAGGGCCCCCAAAGTTGGCAACCCTGGCTGCAGGTATCTGTAGGCAGAAGGGCTTTCTCCACTGAGTCCCTAGGGAGGTGCTTCTACAGGAAGGGCAGTGGACATATCTGGAAGTGCCTGCATCATGCCCAACTTTGGTTCTCCTGAAGGTAGATTTGAACCTAGGAGTTCATAATCCAGTGTGAACCTGGTACCTGGGGACCTCTCTATCCACAGAGGTCCACATATCAACCACTCATTACATTATTGCTTAGTGAAAGCCTGTGGATTTTTTTCTTCTAGAAACTGCATGTTTTCCTGTTCCAAGAAGTGCTTGTGATCACTCGAGCCGTCACCCACAATGAGCAGCTTTGCTACCAGCTGTACCGTCAGCCAATCCCCGTGAAGGACCTCCTGCTGGAAGACCTCCAGGATGGAGAAGTGAGGCTGGGTGGCTCCCTGCGAGGGGCATTCAGCAACAACGAGAGAAGTATGGATAGCAGTCGGGGTTGACATGTTGAACATTTTTGGCTGTGGTAGTTTGGAGGGAGTGGGCAGCTGGTGGAAAGAGAAAAGCCAGTCTTGAAGTCAAACTGCATTTGAATGCATCTCATCACTTCCTGATTATGTACTTTGTTTGGCCCCTGTGATTCTCAGTTTCTCATCTCCAAAATGGAAATGCATACGTACCTCCTTCATAAGATTGTTATAAGGATTTAGTAAGATACTCCAAGTGAACCTATCTGCACATCGTTAGTGCTCCTTAAGTTCTCTTTCTCTGTCTTTTTCCATTGGATAAAAACATGCTTAAAACCAGATAGTCCCTACGTGGATACCATTTGCATTATGGTGGGTTTTGCAGTTGAACTGGTAGACTTATCCCTAAAGAGACATAAGAATGGTCAACTGGAATGTGGGTTCATCTGTAACATTACTCAGTGGGCCTAATTTAAGACTTCATAAACAAATTAATTAAAAGAAGCCAAGATAGCAATATCTATCGAGTATCTAAGATGATACTCAGTGAAACAAGCAGGTAACTTCCTTCCCCTATGGAGCTTGCATTGTGATGGAGGAGAAAGATGATAAGCAAATGAATACTTTAAGTGTTGTTAAGAAAACTTAAAACCCAGTAAGGGAATAGGAAGGGATAGCAATAGGAGGTCTGTTTTATTTTTATTTATGTATTTTTTTGAGACAGAGTCTTACTCTGTTACCCAGGCTGGTGTGTGGTGGCGTGATCTCAGCTCACTGCACCCTCTTCCTCCTGGGTTCAAGCAATTCTTGGGGCTCACCCTCCCAAGTAACTGGGAATACAGGCGCGGGCCACCACACCTGGCTATTTTTTGTATTTTCAGTAGAGACGAGGTTTTGCCATGTTGGCGAGGCTGTTCTCGAACTCCTGGCCCCAAGTGATCCACCCACCTCAGCCTCCCAAAGTGCTGGGATTACAGGTCCCTAGGCCCCGCCTGGAGGTCTGTTTTAAATGAAATAAGGAATACTTCTTTGAGAAAGTAACCTTTGAGCTTCCTAGGTTAACACAGGCATCATACTGTCAAAGTAATTAGTATGTACTGCCTTCTACCTACTGATCAATCCCTCTACCCTAGGAGTAGGAGTAGTAGAAATAAGAGCTTATGTTTCTTGAGTATTGACTATGTGCCAGGCATTTTATAAGCATTTACATGTATTACATTTATTCCTCATAACAACCATATAAAGTAGGTTCTTGTTTTCTTCATTTTACAAGTTAGGAACTAAGATACAGAGGATTTAAGGTGCTTGCCCAAGATCAAAGGGTGGAGCCTAAATTTGAAGGACAGAGATTAGCTTCTAGCCGAAGATGGCTAGCAGTAAAACATTTTGGCCTCCTCTCCCTCTGTTCCTTAGCCTCTGAGCCATTGGAAGTGGTGGTGGTTCCCAGTATACTGGCTGCAGGGTTAGTGCAAAGAGACAGACTGCAGATGTTTCTGTGAACCAAGCATTGCATGTGGCACACAAGGCCCATTAAATGTCCATTATATTGTTGTTATTAAATAGGCCAGGCATGGTGGTTTACACCTGTAACCCCATATTTTTGGGAGGCTGAGGTGGGTGGATCACCTGAGGTCAGGAGTTCGAGACCAGCCTGACCAACATTGCAAAACCCTGTCTCTACTAAAAAAATACAAAAATTAGCCAGGCGTGGTGGTACGTGCCTGTAATCCCAGATACTTGGGAGGCTGAGACCGGAGAATCACTTGAACCCAGGAGGCAGAGGTTGCAGTGAGCGAAGATTGTGCCACTGTGCCACTGTACTCCAGAGCAAGACTCCGTCTCAAAAAAAAAAAAAAAAAAAGATTAAATAAAATGTCTTCCATATTGTGGACTACCATTTCTTTTAAATGCAGATAGCTCCTGTTGAGGTAATTAAAATGTAATTTCATTGGACAATGAAACCAAGTTTGTCTACATATATTTTCTCCATCATTGAATACTAAGTGTATAGATACTCTCGTGGAGAAACATGGGCATGTTTTAATATTAAAAAAGAGCCTCTTAAACTGAAAAAAAGCTCTAGCTTGGTCTACTTGTTGAAATTACAGATTATGAAACCCACTTTTAGATCTACTGAATCAGAATCTCTCAAAAAGGGCCTGGGGATTTATTTTTATTTTTACTTTTTGAGAAAAGGTGTCACTATATTGCTCAGGCTGATCTCAAACTCCTGGACTCAAGCAGCGCTCCCACTTCAGTCTCCTGAGGGCATCTGTCTTTTTCACAAGCTGTCACCCCAAGGGATTTTGTTATGCAGCCAGATTTGGTCACCAGTACTCTGGGCTCCCCTAAATCACTTAACTTTGTTGTTCCAAGATGATCTCCACCTGCTGGTTTCTGAGAGCAATGAGGGCAGCTGAACGCTAGACCTGTGTCAACCCCAACTCCCTGATGGTGGCTGCAGGGTGGAGCTGAGCCATGTCCCAGTTCAGTGGGAAACGTTTTGTTATCAGCAATACCTGCCATGGATTCTGGGGTTTAGTGTCACTATGTGTGTTCTCTTTGGCCTGAGGAAGGATCTGTCCATTGACTTTGTTTTTCATGTGTTTTTCCCTTCTAGTTAAAAACTTCTTCAGAGTCAGTTTCAAAAATGGATCCCAAAGTCAGACCCACTCGCTACAAGCCAATGACACCTTCAACAAACAGCAGTGGCTTAATTGTATTCGTCAAGCCAAAGAAACAGTTTTATGTGCTGCCGGGCAAGCTGGGGTGCTTGACTCCGAGGGATCATTCCTAAATCCCACCACTGGGAGCAGAGAGCTACAGGGAGAAACAAAACTTGAACAGATGGACCAATCGGACAGTGAGTCAGACTGTAGTATGGACACAAGTGAGGTCAGCCTCGACTGTGAGCACATGGAACAGACAGACTCTTCCTGTGGGAACAGCAGGCATGGTGAAAGCAACGTCTGACAGAAGCATGCGCATTTTGGAAAGCAGGCCTGCGTCTTACCTGTACAGTATTTGCATTCCGCAGATGGAACGGTTTGGAGAAGCACTTTTTCATACTTTTGTGAAAATATACATGTTGACCCAGTCTCTTGTATCTGTACCTTTGTCCCTAGTACTGTAACTGCCAATCTGTCTGTGTAAGCTGGAATCTGTGGCAACTATTACCCTGTGTTGTATTTCACAAGTGTCTGGATGGATGGAGAGGTACTCAAACAAGTTACTTTCAATTGTCCTGCTGGATTTTAAAAAAAATAGAAAAAGAATCTCGAAACTACTGTTTTACATAGATTGCTTGAAGAGTCCTTCCTCTTGTGCTTCTGTAGCACTTTCCCAGCTCTTAGATGTGGTAGCTGAAGGCACAGAATTTAGAGGGCCTTGTAAATAGGGCATGAGGAAGTCACCTGTGTATCGGGATGGTATTAGAGAGAGAATCAGGAAAGACCAACTCATGAAGTGAACTTGGTTTGATTTTATTCAACTAGAAAGCTTGAAAACATCCCTGGAGATTCTGAAGGCTTAATTTTGCAAAGGAGGACGCACTGTCTGAACCTTGCAACTTCATCCAGTGCAAGTTTGATGCAAGAATGTATTAGGACATAAAATAGAGGCTGACCTTAAAAAGGGCCAGGACAAAAGCAGCTGCCAGCTCTGAATCTTTAACTGAAATGCACATGGCACCAGGAGGTGTCTCTCATAGTTGGTTGCTAGCCTAAAACATCAGAATAGAACCCAAATGGCCTAGGAAAGCCTTCCAGGATAACAAGAAGGCCCTGTCTTCATTGTGTTTCATCTGCCTAGGCCTACTCATATTTTAGAGAATGAATGAAGCAACAAGGAAGAGAGACCATGACTCTATCGATGACACTGTTTATAGAAACACAGGAGAGGAAGAACTTGGAATGAAAAGCACTTCGTCAGAACCTTGTGTGGGAGCCACTGAGAGAAAAGCAAGGCTGAGAAAGGCCAGAGCCTTGGGCTTTCCTGCTCTGCTTTTGGGTTGTCAGTTTGCCATCTCTGGTTCTGTGCTATAATCAGAATTGTAATTATGTTCTCCAGAGGCCAATTTCATTAACTCTGATGAATTAGGATCAGCTAGCCAGATTAGTAACCTCTTTGTCCAGCCTTGATTTACAGTGCAGGGTAAAGTGCAGACCTTAAAAAAAGCGAAGTACCTAGAAGAGCTCCCTGCAAGTGTAAATATTAAGGATGACCTGTGCAAAATTATACCCACACCAGCACTAGTGGTAATTATTCTAAATTATTGCCAAAAAGTTTTTCTTTAATCTTCTGTCTTTCAAGTTTACAGAAAAGAAAGTAAGTGCATTGATGTCATTTTATTATGTACATATATCATGTGCATTCAAAGAAGCTGTGTGACAGGATATATCAATATAAAAACAAGGTATATACTTTATTTTTTAAAAACAAGGATATTGTGGTCAATTTTACCCTATAAAACATATTTCTGTATTTATAGATCTTAAACATGGTGAATTTTTTCTATTACAAGTTTATTTAAAACTGCTTTGTTTCTCAAGTTGTTATTGATACAGCAAGTGAACCTGCTGCAGACAGAAGCAGAGGAAAGCCAAGAACAGCCTTTTAATGGTGAAGAAAAGAATGAATGATTCTTTGTAGGAGCCATCAGCCACTTTTAGGAGCCATCAGCCAGTGTGTTGGGAAAAGAGGTTTGTCAAGTGTTGGCCTATGGGAAGAAAGTCAATGAATGTTTTGATGAAATGAATGTTTTTGTATAATGGCCTTAAACTTTTCTGGAAATATTTCAAATAAATTACATTATTAAGTCATCCTCCATGTGTACAGTGTTTGTCCTACAAACAAAATACAGGTTTCAGCTGTGTTCCTGGGGAGGTTCTTTCTGAAATTTTTGTTTGTGGTTCCTGAATACAAACTTTAAAATAGGGTGCAGATTGATATAAATGCTTGTCTTTGATCTATCAAAACTTTCACAGAACTCTTTTTTTTTTCTTTCTTTCTTTTGAAACAGAGTCTCACTCTGTTACCCAGGCTGGAGTGTGGTGGTGTGATCATAGCTCACTGCAACCTCAAATTCCTGGGCTTACGCAATCCTACCTCAGCCTCCCAAGTAACTGGGGTTACAGGTGCACATCACCACATCTGGCTAATTTTTAAATTTTTTGTAAAGATTGAAGTCTTACTACGTTGCCCAGGCTGGTCCTGAACCCCCTGGCCTCAAGTGATCCTTCTGCCACAACCTCCTAAAGTGTTGGGATTACAGGCATAATCCACTGAATCTGTACAATAACTCATAATTCTAAAATCTATTTTCTCAAGCATTCTCTTTTCATTCACTTACTTATGTGTTCACTTTTAATAACTCTATCTGGAATCCATACTATGTATAAAGTCAAGTGGTAAGTCATAGGTGTTACAGAAAAGAAATGTTGAATCTCACTGCTAATATAGGTAACTGTTGAGGAACTTGAGGCTAAATAAAAGGCCAATTTCACTTTGAAATTCTTACTGGAATTTCAGTCTACTTTAATTAAAATGATTAGTACTCTTTCTAGACTGAACGCAGTGGCTACACCTCTAATCCTAGCAGTTTGGGAGGCCAAGGCAGGTGAATTGCTTGAGTCCAGGAGTTCAAGACCAGCCTAGGCAACATGGCAAGACCTCATCTCTACAAAAACACAAAAATTAGCCAGGCGTGGTGGCATGTGCCTATAGTCCCAGCTACTCAGGAGACTTGAGTCGGGAGGATCCCTTAAGCCCAGGAGGCAGAGGTTGCAGTGAGCTGTGATCACACTGTTGCACTCCAGCCTGGGTGACAGAGGGAAAACCTGTCTAAAAAAAAAAAAAAAAAAAAAAAGATTAGTACTCTTTCCCACAATTAGTGGGGTTTTTTTTTAGATGAAAAGGCTAAACATTTTTAAGCTGTTAGTAGCCAATTCTCAATAGCACATGGGCCCAATAAGGCTGGTAGGTAGTCTTATCTTTACAATAAGCTCTCACCATTTTCTTTAACATACTGTTACTTCCCAAATTTGGCAAGATATTCACATAAATAAATGTAAGTCCAAATTTTTTCCCAAATGCAAACTCGCTTCTCCTAATTCTCTTTTTCTTCCTCCTCCTTCTTTTTTGTCTGTCCTCTTTTCTCACTGCTGCTTTGGCTATTCCCTCCGTTTTTTACTCCTATAATTGTACTGACTGTCAATGCTAAAGGATGTATCTTATATTAGAAAATGTTTGTACTGACGTTTTGTGGGTTAGTACAAATGAGTGAGGGCTAAATGGTTTTTCTTCAGTCAATTTTCAAGATGTTATTTCACACACAACTAGATGTAATCCTTGCAATCTACTAGATGTAATCTTTGCAGTCTAAATGAAAACCCATAAGCAATGAACAGAGCCAGAACTAGCAATTTTCTGTAAAATTAGAGCATGGTTTCAGCTTCTGGGTTGTGGTCACCGCCACTGACTGCTTTAGTTTCCATTCCCAGCACAATTTGCAGCAGCTAAGAACGCATAGCTCTTCATAACCACAGCCCTGTTTCAACAAAGACTGTGTGGCTGCAGGAAACTGCAACCCACCATCTTGGTGAAGAGGCTGTTTGACTTTCCATTTACATTCTGTGCATGTCCATTTTTTACTAATTCTCCCAAAGCCTGAGGACTCTCAAAGATTTGGTGAAGAGACTGGCCAGTTTCACTCAGGTCAGTTTCCCTCACCTGGCTCCCCTTGGCATTGAGGAGACAGACACTAAATACCGCCCCCCCACCTTATTGATGCAGTTGATTCAATTAATTCACACTAACTTGTTTATTGACAGAATTCTAGAACTACACTATTGGAAGGGAAGGGGGTTCCCCAAGCCCAAACCTACCAATAGAAATCTGACGATCATCAAAATGTAAAACCTTGTCCACATGAGCACACAGTGAGAAAAGGTGACCGTATTCACTGTACCTCAAAGGTACTGAGGGAAACAAGTTGGAGAAAAAAAAAATGCTCATGACATCATATCTCCTTTCTCCAGATTTGGTTCATACATCAGTCAGCTGCACAGACCTACCTAGTCAAAGCAGTTTTCAGTTGACCTGAGGGAATAACAAGGAATTAGAAGTCATGCACTGTATCTTTAAGAGCCAATCACTTAGCCTAGGAAACTGGACATGCATTCCAAAGCTTGTCCACATGCAAACATACCTAGGTATTAATGAACTGTGCTCTCATCTGTGAAAGGTTTGAAAATGACATCCTGCAAGTGTTTTATTCTCTGTTGCCAGGGACAGTGGACCCCTCGAGCCCATTTAAAAGTGAGACTGTATGTGAAATCACTGTTTTAAAAAATACTAAGAGCTAGTAGTTTTCACTGTTATTTAATAATCACTTTTAAATTTGTACATGTTGCCCAGGCGTGGTGTCTTATGCCTGTAATCCCAGCACTTTGGGAGGCCGAGGAGGGCAGATCACTTGAGACCAGGAGTTGAATACCAGTTTGGCCAAAATGGTAAAACCACATCTCTACTAAAAATACGGAAATTAGCCTATCCTGGTGGCACGTGCCTGTAATCCCAGCTACTCAGGAGACTGAGACACGAGAATCACTTGAACCTGGGAGGTGGAGGTTGCAGTGAGCACAGATTGCGCTACTGCATTCCAGCCTGGGTAACACAATGAGTCTCAAAAAAAATTAAAAATAAATAAATAAATGGTACATATGAAATTTCTCAAAAGTGTGGCCTTGGCCTGAGTATTTTTCATTCATTGTACTGTGTACCTGGGGATACTTTTCAATCCAGATAATTTGGAATTTTTTCTTGTATTTTTTTTTTCTTATATATTTTCATTCCCACAATTTTCTATTTTCTCTTTCAGGAATTCCAGAAAGAGAGATGAACCTTCTGGATTTGATGCCTTAACTTCTGGATTGATTTTCAAATATTCTTAATCTCTTCATTCTTACTTTTTATTTATTTATATTTTGTTCAGCTCTCAAGGAGATTTCCTCACCTTTATCTTCAGATCCTTCTATTAATTTGAGGAGAGGGTTGCCATCACAGTTTTTTTTTTTTACTAAAAGTTTTTTCTTCTATCACTCTTTTTTTTTTGAGACGGAGTCTCGCTGTCGCCCAGGCTGGAGTGCAGTGGCCGGATCTCAGCTCACTGCAAGCTCCGCCTCCTGGGTTCACGCCATTCTCCTGCCTCAGCCTCCCAAGTAGCTGGGACTACAGGCACCGGCCACCTCGCCCGGCTAGTTTTTTGTATTTTTTTTTAGTAGAGACGGAGTTTCACCGTGTTAGCCAGGATGGTCTCGATCTCCTGACCTCGTGATCCGCCCGTCTCGGCCTCCCAAAGTGCTGGGATTACAGGCTTGAGCCACCGCGCCCGGCCTCTCGTATCACTCTTTCTATACTTAAAGCACCCCTATTTTTATGTAACGAAGGCAGTGTCTTCTCTGAATTCTCAGAAGATGTCACAGTTCAGTTGAATTTTCCTTCATCTTTCATTGTTTATCTGGGGGTAATAAAGGTAAGTAATAGGATTTGGGGGAGGATTCAATGTGCCAATACATCCAAAGTACTTAGAATGGGCCAGGCGCAGTGGCTCACGCCTCACTTTGGGAGGCCGAGGCGGGCAGATCAAGAGGTCAAGAGATTGAGACCATCCTGGCTGACGTGGTGAAACTCCGTTTCTACTTAAAATACAAAAAATTAGCTGGGTGCGCGTAGTCCCAGCTACTCAGGAGGCTGAGGCAGGAGAATCGCTTGAACCTGGGAGGTGGAGGTTGCGGTGAGCCGAGATCACGCCACTGCACTCCAGCCTGGCAACACAGCAAGACTCCGTCTCAACAAAAAAAAGTACTTAGAATGGTGCTATGCCAGATATTTTTGTTTACTTCTCCAAATCCACTGTGCACCCTGATTCACTCTTCTGTGTGTACTTCATCATGGGCTCCCCTGCCTGACATTTCTGGTTTGGTTTGGCCCAGTGAAAATCCTCTCATGGTATCAGTGAGAGGGAGAAGAGTGAGTTTAGTGTATTCATTCCCCCAGCTCCCACCCGAAGGATTGCCTTGGGCTGGTTGCATCTCTTATCATCAGGTCACAGCTTCTCTCAAGGAGTCCTTTCTGAATTCCTGTAACCCTTCTAGCCTAGTATAGTAACAACCCCACTGTCACTAGCCCCAGGATATTGTATTGTCCCTACACACTGCCCAAACTTTGTGTATTGTCCCTTTATTAAAACCTCCTAATTTGAACATTATATTTGAATATGCTGCTGAGCCTCTAATAGATACTGCTTCCTGATATAGTAAACATTATATATGTCTTCTATTGTCATTTATGTTATTCCACCATTTGCTTTCCATTTTCATATGTTGTGGTCCAAGGATAAACAGATCTTTGGAATCATCAAAGATCGGTTTTGTGTTTCTATTTTTGGCTATCATGATGGATTGTTTTCTGGGAAGATAAACGAAAGCGTATTTCAAAAACAAAGGCAAAACACTTTTTCAGGCATATGAAAGCTGAAAGAATTCATCACCAGCAGACCTCCAATACAAGAAATGTTCAATGGACTTTCTTTGAACAGAAACAGAATGATACCCTATGGACATGTGGATCCAAACAACAGAATGAAGAGCTCTAAACATGCAACTATGTCGGAAAATAGGACAGGCTTTTTTATTTTTATTTTTTGAGACAGAGTCTCGCTCTGTTGCCCAGGCTGGAGTGCAGTGGCACGATCTCAGCTCACTGCAAGCTCTGCCTCCCGGGTTCATGCCATTCTCCTGCCTCAGCCTCCCGAGTAGCTGG